GTGTGAAAACCACGGGACTAGTTAATTAACCTTCAAGCCGGTCACGAAAAAAGACAAAAAGGAAAAAAAAAAAAAAAGAAAAAGGCAAAGTAAAGTGTCTGATCATCTTTCTTCATGGTCGAGCATAACAGTGGTTACAAGCATAGACTCTGGAGCCAGCTTGCCTGTGTTCAATCCTCATCTCTTCTGCCTAGAGCTGTGTGACCTTGGGCAAGTTTCTTAACTTCTCTATGCCTGTTTCCTCATCTGTAACATAGGAATAACAACAGTACTGATCTCACAGGATTGTCATGAGGATTAAATGAGTTAATACATATGCGAGACCCTTAGAACAGTGCCTGGCAAATAAACAAGTGTTTCTTATTATGATTGGCCCAAGCCACAAGAGGAAATGCACAAGAGCTCCCTCATTCCTTGTAAAGGTGTTCGTGAACGTAATGAGACTTGCTGAAGGTGCCTTTATAAACGGTACTGTTGGTTTCTGACTCACGTTTGGGAAGAAAAGCAGAACAGAAGGTGATAAATTCCTTTATGGGAGAGCTTGGCAGGAGAGGCAGATGCAACTGTGAAGTTAATTGGTGAACGGGAGGTGGACTCCCAGGCAGAGGCGGGCTGACGGCACGAGCATGTTCTCTCTCTCCTGCTCTGGTTTATGGTGATTAACTCATTAGGGATTCTGAAAGGCCATTCTTGGGTGGCTGCTAGTCCTGTCTTTGCCCAGACAGGGATGATGTCAGCATATAGTTTATGGAGTTCTGCAGTCCTCTGGAGGATTCCGGGAGCTTATAGCGCTGTCTCAGGCTGCTGGCCAGCACTCTGAAAACTGAATCCCACTTGAGTCTTGTGTATCCCAACTTGCTTGTCTTTGTCATGATTTTTGATGTTGTTCTCTGTGCAGGCAATAGGGCATGAGAAGTAACCTCAAAAGTTCCCTAAGTAAGGCTCAGTTTTCTAGCCCTTCTGGCTTGAGTCTCTGAGAATTTGGCCCCATTTCTCTACCGCTTCTCTGACTCACAAGGGGCATAGAATGAGGTAACACACCAGGGATATGCTGATTTTAAGATGCAGAATTTAAGACTGTAAAATATATCATTGTTTTATGTATCACTAAGGAAGAAATAGATGCCTGCTGATTAAACCCTAACAGAAATTTTTTCTTTGTAATTAGTTTGAAAATGCTCCTTCAGACTGACTTACAGATTTTTAAAAATTACATGTCACTCTTATGCATACATGAAAAGGAAGACGTAAGGCTAGGGTATCCCTAACACTTTTTTATATGCAGAGTCTGGGTCTTCTGAATCACTTTTTAGCCCACGGTCAACACTATCTGTGTTTCTTCAGATGACGTCATCCTCTGTGCCATCAGGGGCAATGGGTATGTAGAATGTCAATGTCGGGTCATAGTGTACACTTTCTGAACACATTGTGGATGGTCTGGGAATCACCCAGGTGGTGCCCACCAGGCACACTTCTCAATTGAAATGTCTTATCAGCAGCTAAAACAGGTTTGTGCTTGTGCCAGCAATGGCAACCTCTTCATGACTGTCACCAGGCCACAGCGACAGTAAGAGGCATCCCAGTTTGAGGAACATTTCAGTCTGAAAAAATGCACATCTTAAAATCCATGAAATTGCTAATAAAGATTTCTATTTATTTCTTTAAGGAGATAGGGAGATGGGTTTAATTCTCATAAAACTTTTCAGGACTTATCGAAAAATTCTCTCATCCTATTCGTGAGAAGGTACATGGTGAATTTTGGCCTTTTCCAAAGGCTTGACAATTTTTCCAGGCAGGGTATGCTGCAGGATCAGAAGATTCCAGAAGTGAGAGTCAGCCTCTGCCTGGGAGGGAACTGCTCTCACGATGTATTTTACATTCGCCCAAAGTGTCTTCCCTTAAAGTAAGTCATTTATTTGTGTAATGGCATTGTTATTCTCTGTGGAAATACAAATACCCTTAAAAAGGTCATTCAGTGTTCCTTCTGCCTGATTAATGATTTCTCCCTTCTAGAGTGGATTTTGCCAAAGGTTTATTTAAAGGAGCCAAACTTTTAAAAAGAAAAATCTCTAAGTGTTGCAACAGCATAAAACTTAGATCACAAAAGACCACATACCGTATGATTCTATTTATATGAAATGTCCAGAATAGGCATATCTATAGAGAGAAAGCAGATTTGTGGTTTCCAGGGTCTGGGCAAGGTTTCTTTTTGGAGAAACAAAACTATTCTAAAATTAGATTGTGGTGATGGTCGCACAGCCTTGTAAATGTACAAAAACATTGTATTGAACACTTTAAATGGTGAATTATATAGTATGTGAATTATATCTCAACAAAGGCATTTAAAGAAAAAAGACTTAGGATGTGTTTTGTGTGCATTAAATAACATAAACAGAAATTCTTTTACACTTATCCCAGTGATATTTATTTAATAAAAACCTAGTAAGAATTATTTTGTTTAAAATCACTCAACAGACTCAACAAAGTAAAATGCTAGAGGCTATGGCAAAGAAGATTTGACTCCACCTTTGAGAAACCCATACTTGAAGAGGCACAGAGGAGAGAGACATTTACACAAATAACTCTGGAGGACAGAGGAAATATTCTGAGAGATTCTGAGGATGTTTCTCGGTGAGCTCAGGATTTGACTTGGCCTTCAAGGCACTGGACTTGATAGGTAAGTATAAGGGTCGGGAGAGGGGATGGAAGCAGAGAAAAATCTCACATCCCTTGCAAGCTGACAGAGGCTTTCTTAGAAAGAGGCCCCAGCCCAGGTGAGTTTATGGGTCCAGCCCACAGAGAGCTGCTTCATGCAGAGTTTAAGAGTGGATGACCCTCAGCCCTGGGTCTGAGGGAAGAGTGTCGTCAGCAGAACCATACTATGAAATGACAGGAAAGGACCGCGAGACTTGAGCAGGGTCATCCAGCCAGTTGTTAATACAGGTCACGAACTGGAATCCAATTTTCCTCATGCTCAGCTCAGTCATCACTGCCCTGGAAGGAAGGTGATAACACATTCGTTGCCATCCCCAGCAAGGGCTGTCAGTGGTCTTGGGAGGTCACAGCCTGCCTTCCAGGGACAAACACATACTTTGAAAAGATGAAAGGTGAAAGTGAGAAAGATGGTAAAGTAAGAACCTCCTATCAGTCCTTTTCCTTGTTCCCTCAGCCTCTCACCTTATGATCAAAGCTCTCACGTGCCATTCACCTCAGTTCCCACAAGTCTAAAGTAAATCCCACTGAGGCAGGAACAAACCTCCTCACATCCCTGTTCTCGAACGGATGCTGCTTCCCTGGACTGCCCACTCCGGAATTTTCATTGCAATTGGCAGTGAGTTTATGAAGGACAGCTTTCTTTCTTTAACAATGCCTCTATTTTTTTTTTTTTAACTCAGAGCTTTATATAAACCCTCAAAACAAATTGAGACCCGGGGCCAGCCCGGTGGCGCTCTGCGCTAGTGCGCCGCTTGGGAAGCGTGGCGGCGCTCCCACCGAGGGTTCGGATCCCACATACAGACCGGTTCCCGCTCACTGGCTGAGCGAGGCGCGGGGGCAACACCGAGGGTTGCGATCCCGTTGCCGGTCCCAGTCCGGTACGGGGGCAACACTGAGGGTTGCGATCCATTGCCGGACACGGAAAAAGAAAAAAAAAAACCAAAAAAAAACCAAATTGAGACTGATTGAATACATACTCTGGCAACTGACAATATAGAGTTAACCAAATAGTTAAGCCTCAAAATGTATATGTACTGAACATGTGAAAATATATGGAACCGTTCTGGTGTTACTCTTTAATCCCTTCTCCCTGAGGATTCAATGTGACTCTTCACCAGACTTCATTCACTGAGGTCACTGTGTCTGTGCTGGCTTCTCAAGATCTTCTCTTCTTTTCCTGGATTTTTTGCATCAAGAATTCCCTACTAGGCCTCATGCTGTTCCTCATCCATGCTTATCAGCATCAAAATAGCTATTTCCTTGCATGAAGGCTTTTCATGTTCTTTATCCATCTGCAGTTACCCAAAGTGCTCCCTTTAAGAACAAAACCTTTGTCAACTGTGTTCTGTCGTGGGCCAGATGTGTATGAGTGTGGAGCAGAAGGTGAGTGTTCCTCTGCCAATACACACGCTGCAAGTGCCTGCAGCAGCCACCTGTCACCCAGGAAATTCTCTCTCTCTCTCAATTGATTCTTTGCTCTGTGTTGAGCTGTCCCTGCAAGCTCTCAGAGATGTAGAGAGGATGTTTATAATATCTGGCTTTAGTACTATCTTAAAAATATCTCCTATCCTGCCTGGAAGTCATGGCTGATATAAACACCTGGTTTTTGCTGTTCAACCCTTTTCTTTGTACTCAGTTTCTGTTCTTAGTATGGGCATGTTTGCTCCCCTGGGTCAGTAACCTCGCATCTTCACAAGCCTTGAACACACACACACACAAACACAAACACACACACACACACACACACACCACTTCTATGGGGATTATTCCATTTAAAGAAAAAGTTGGGAGGCTCTGGGAGGGTTTGCTTGGTCTCTCAGCCCAGCTCTCCTTAGCCCTGATTATGTATTTGAGCTATTTCCTTCCTTGAACAATTGATACATGTGAATATAATGTTGTAGCCAAAGATGCATACATAATTAATTCAAACAATAAATATTCTTGTCCATCTCTGCCGTCATAGTGGATAACCAAGAATTTTTATACGTAAAAATAAATAAAGGAATATTATAAAATTAACTTGCTTTTTAGCTCCATAATGTCACTCACTGAATACTCCTTTCCTTTCGAAACATTTGAATAGGCTGGCTAATTCTCACTATGTGATAGCTTAAATTACCCACCAAATTAAGAAAATGGAAAGAATTCAAACCAGATATTTTCTAAAATAAAATGCATCCTTCATGAACCAGGAAAGGACCCCAAACGGTCTGAGAATCCCAGATGCTTGAACATTCTACATGAACCGATTTCATGATGACAAAACCCTCTTATGACTCGTTTTGTCAGATCAAATGGCTTCTTTATTGTTGATGATAGTTGAACACGAGTAGCCTTGGCTAACACTGTGATTGAGACATCTCTTCCATAAACACCAGGAGAGGAAAGTTATGAATTCTTAAAAATAGTTTTGCTTTAGGATTCTTCTGTGATTATTTCCACCAGCATTTCAGTTAAACAGGGGAAACGGGAGACATTTTGATAATGGGGGGTCTATGGGCTTAGAGAGAGGTTTGGGGAAATATTTAAAATCATGGGAATAGATGAACTGCTCTAGGGAGAGGATATTGTGAGAGAATAAATGAGGGCTCTGGATTAAATCCTGGAAAACTCCAACATTTAAGGACTGTCGCAGAGGAGAAGCCAGCAAAGAAGCCTGAGAAGCAATGCCTGAAGCAGTAGGAGGGGCATCTGGAGAATGTGGGGTCGGAAAAGCAGACCAGAGAGTGTACTGAAAAGGTGGAAATGGTTGCTCATTTCGAGAGGAGAAACTTGAATGGAGTGGTAGAAGCTGAAGCCATGCGGAAGCTTGGGAGAACCCAAAGGATGTGCTTTTAAATGCTCTGCTTGGTCCAACTGTGTAGAAAGTTTAGTTTACTAGTAAAATCCCACTGACAGCACAGGTCCAAAAGTTAAGCAAAGTGTCTAATGTCCTGTAGGATCCTTCATTCCTAGAAGGAAGAGAAATAAAAGAAAATATGCAGAAGTTGTAACATAAAGAATTTGGCGATGTATATAGTAAATTTCAGTAAACAGATCAAAGAACAGGTTTTCTGTTCCAGTGGGTGGATTTATTTACTGTTAAATATTTCTGCACAAAATGTATGTACACTATAATTGCAACTATATTTGAACCATGCATGTAGGAGGTAACAAGCAAAAATGAAGTTTTGTTAAAGTTATGATATCTACATGTTTTTTTGAAAATTATGTTTACATTGCTACTATATTATCTTTTTCTAAAAAGAGTAAAAATAAAAATTTATTTTACATGACATGCAAAGAAAGGAACTCAGGTTTCTGTAGTTTCTGCTCAACAGGTGTGCATGTTTTGCGGATGAGAAATCCCCAGACCAGATGGGTAAGAAATGACACCAGGTCATGTAGTGAGTCAGCATGGGAAGACTAGTAACAGGTCTCCCTTGTTATGTTGTATAATTCTTTTTCCACATTCCTTAGTGTTGCAAAATAACCAATCCCAGTGACTCTAAAGCCTATTTCTCATCTCATTCCCTGACTGCTTCCTCATGAAAAGACCAGAGTTAGCCATCAAGGGACCGTTATTTATCTGCATAATTTCCCACTTTGTTTTTTATATCTAAATATGATTCCATGGTTTGCTTCTCCTGGTGGCCAGCCCATGTGGTTTCCCTGGAAGCTGTCCAAGCCCCAGCTGCACTAGCTGGGGGAGGAATTTAAGCCGGGGGTGGGGGAAGGGGAAAGTTGCTTTAATATTATCAGCTAATTCTTTATCTTAATTATTGGCACCTTCCAAACCTGAGCCAGTAGAGAGTATGTCAATTTAGTCCCCGAGGTCAGAGGTGGGATTAGGCAAGGCAGAGAAGGGGTGGAAGAAAAGGGAAACAGGCAGCAGTTGACCTTTACCAACTTCTTGGTGTTGGCAAAGGGCAGCCTTAGCCCGGTGCTTGCTGAGGTCTCTCTTAACATCAGGTTTTACTTAATAAGCATTTATTGAGTGCTTTGGGTGGTCACTGTGTTTGTTGCTGGGCAGAGTCTTTAAGGAGCTTGCTACAGTTATCAATAATGAGACAAAACAATATCAAGATACGTGTCCTTTTGAAATACAAATAACTCTGAGAAAAGTAATAAAAATTGCCACTGCTTTTGTAAAATTCAGAAAACTCAGGCCATGCTCCCGTGAGCCCCATCTAACGCCTTTTGCACACTCTATCCACTCAATTAGAGGAAATGGACAAGATGAGAGTATGGAGCTTTCAGATTAAAATGTCTCAAAAACTCTTTCCATGCTCCAACATAGAAATTACTCATAGAATTACAGATGAGCAGAATCTCCCTCTTTTAACTTTAAAACTGTTCAGAACACCTTTCTTTCTTTTTTACTGTAGTCAAATTATTTCTTAAAATTCCTCATTTGTAAATTTATTTTAGAACCTGTTACTTCTCAGTTACCATAACATCCATTCATGTTTGAAAGAAAATAATCTAAGATCAGGTGGTAGTGATGTTATTTGAAGAGTTGGTCATTTACTTGCACTGAGAAAAGACAAATTTTTTTTTTCCTTTTTGTCTTTTTTACTGACCGGTAACGGGATCGCAACCCTCGGTGTTGCGCCCTCACCGTGCTCAGCCAGTGAGCGGGAACCGGTCTCCACATGGGATCCGAACCCTCGGTGGGAGCGCCGCCACGCTCCCAAGTGGCGCACTCTCCAGTGCACCACCGGGCTGGCCCAGAAAAGACAAATTTTTAAATGCCGTGTTCGAAACGTGTGTCAACATTTTTAAGGAGCCAATTCATTATGACATTATATATTCTCTTTTGCAATAACCTGATTTTAAGGCTCCTTCCTGTACTATGCCATTTCTTAACGCCCCCTTTACACCCAAGATTTGCAGAAGGCAGAGAGAAAAGACACTTTTTTTTTTTTAGATAGCAAGATGTTTCATAAAAGGGCAGTATAAAGTCAAAATGGCATAGACTCGAGAGACACAGATTAAGACTTTCTGAAACTCAATTTTCTCTACTGTGAAATGGAGGGTAATAATGGTACCCACCTCCTAGAGTTATTGTGAGGTGCACAATAGATGTCAGCTATTACTGTTAGAAAGCTACAATTGGAGCTTGGATTCTGATGTGTTTTAGGGGGATTATACCCCAATTGGGATCCTAGAGATAACCCAAACCTATGGGACCCTCTATGCATTTCTATATTCAGTGTCAAATTCACCTTCAGTATTCTATTTTATAAGGCATGAGAGAAGTTCAAAATCTTTGTGGAAAAAAATCTTACAGAAGTCTTCTTAAAGGGAACATTCATTTATTCATTCAGCAAATATTTATTGACACCTCCTATGTACTGAGCATTGTGCTAGGTGCTGGGGAGTGAGCTAAACAGTCTCTGATCTCACTGAACTTAGATCTGGTGGTGGAGATTGTGACTAATCAAATAACCACAAATAAACAATACAATCTATAATAAAAGCTATGAAGAAAAATTCTGACTTTTTTTAATCTTGGAGAATAGAGTAGACATTGAAAAATATTGTACTTGGGCAGTGTAATTTTGCCATTTCTCAATCTCAGTTTCTTTTATAATGGATAGTTATGATGTTACAATGCTGAGTATGGTGTTATTTTTAATATAAACTGTACCCAGTACATCATGAATTTTGAAAATTAGGTTATAACATGGAATCATTAAAATGCCAACTGATAAGTCTCCAAAGCTACAATTTCATATCATGGCCACACACACACACACACACACATTTTTAAGAGAGAAGAAGCCTGGACAGGGAGCTGTGGGTGGAGCTGGGGACTGGAGGCCTAAGAACAGCAAAGACAGGGCTGAGAGTTGCAGTTGAGCCACCTTGGTCAAGGAACTCTGGGTCAGAGAGGACAAAAGGAGTGAGGCAGGATCAGAGGACCAGGTCATGGCATCCAGGAAAGTGAGCCTCCGGTGGAGCCCACTTTTATGGATTTTCATTTGTATTCAAAGAATTTATCCAGAAGGCCTTCTCCTGCATTCTCCCCATGGAGCAGTAATTTTCCAGCTATCAGTCATGGCCAATTTGTGGGTCACAAAATAAATTTAGTGAGTACCCACCAGCGTTTTTTAGTGAAATAGAAAAATTAAAATAGAAAATGTCAGTGTGCAGTATGTAGTAAGGGTGAGGTCGTCTGTGTTTGGGTGTGTATGTGTGTATTAAGTGGCCCTCTGGGGCCCAGCCTGTTCAGTGGTGGAAATTCCCTGATGAATGTCCCATCCACTACTTTTCTCCAGATATGGTCCTTGGAAAGTTGAAACCCTCTCTTAAGCAGGTTGAGGAAGGATGGAGGCCAAAGAGCAGAGCACCAGGCTCAGGTTGAAGTTCAGGGACCAATCTGAGCTAAAGACGGTATCTGGATGCGGGGGTTGGCGCTGCAAAGGAACAATTCAGATGAAAGGTCCTGTGAAAGTGAATGAGGTTGAGACCAAGTACAAGACAAAGGTGTACATCTCACCTCCCAAAATGGGGAGGAAATGTACAGACTGGGATCGCCGATCTATCTGGCCATTTTTGAACTACAAAAATGGAAATCTAATACATTGGGTTAGAGCTGCCTTGGAGATGTCCCCTGATGTTGCAGCCTCCTTTAGGACTCCACCTGTGAGTGGGAAAGGAGGTGATAACTGAGACCATGGTAGTGGGATTAAACCACAGTTTGTATCCATGTTTTCTTTGCTGAGCTCTTTGCCTTTTAGCAACTGCCCTCAGTGTCTGTAACTGAAGCCACTATGGTTTAAACAAGGCATGCTCAGAGGTGGCTTCCTTCTTACTTTAGCATCTCTATGACTAAGACTGATTTCCAAGTACCATGTTTTCAGTTGTGTTTTCCCACTTGATAAGACACTCCTTTTATGCTAGTATTGAAACATACAAAAAAACCCCCTAATTTATCTAAAAAATTTTCTCTTTTTGGAAGAATTAGGGTGGTGATCATTTTATTTGCAGAAATAATTTCTTTCTTTTTTTTTTTTTTTTTGTCTTTTTCCGTGTCCGGCAACGGATCGCAACCCTCAGTGTCGCCCCCGTACCGGACCGGGACTGGCAACGGGATCGGTGTTGCTCCCGCGCCCGGTCTGTATGTGGGATCCGAACCCTCGGGTGGGAGCGCCGCCACGCCTCCCAAGCGGCGCACTATCCAGTGCGCCACCAGGCCGGCCCGTTGCAGAAATAATTTCTAACTTAGGTCTTCCTACATTGTTTTTGGACCACACAGAGTACTCAAAGAAAGGGGAATGGATAGCTGGTCTTCTCTTGAGTTCTTAGAGCATTCTAAAGAGGACTTCTTGATGATAAAAGGGCAGGAAGGGTCAAGGGGTGATTTTGTACCTTGACAAACAGCGTGAGTGGTCATTTTCTGTTGAAAGTTAATAGTTGGTGGAAAGGGCAGTGGGACAACAGGCTCTTAGCTGCAGATATGGACAGATAAGCTGTAGGTGAGGGAAAAGCTACTGCAGTAATGAAAGATGCCAGCTTTCACCCTGGGCAGGAGTGTTTATCTGCAGAGGTGGAGAAAGAGTCTCTATCCAGGGACCCCAGAATGTGGCATCAACTAAGACAGAGATGACAGCTCTCTGGGATAACCACTTATTATGTCTTTGAAATGACCCACCCCGTAGTTACTACTTCAGCCTGTCTCTGACCTACTCACCAAGAATGTGAGTTTTTCCAAAAGCTTTTCTTGGTCAAGTCCAAAGACCTTTATTTCATATGCAGAGAGAAAGAGAGAGAGAGAGAGAGAGAGAGAGAGAGAGAGAGATGGCTGTTTCTTTAAAACTCTTACATAAAATTTTTATGTTGTAGAAAAAGCATGTGCTTAGAAATTAGACAGACCTGGGTTGCATTTTTTTAAGTGCTCACTAAAGACTAGCTGTGAGCCCTTGGGTAAGATAGTTAGCAAGTTAGGAAACTCAAAGAGCTGCAGTTTCTTAACATGAAAATAGGGGAAATAATATCTCTTCTATAGGGTTGTTGTGAGGATTACATAAGATAAAGTTCATAATGTGCAAGACCATTGCTGGGCACTCAATAAATAAAACTGTATATTACTATCTTTCTTGTAAGTGCCACCATTTCAAGAAGCAGCTAAAGGACAACCACAACAGAGTTTGCAACTCTTTTAGAGCAAGGGTATTGATTGTGATATAAACATTTGGGGCATATTTACAGAATTTATAATTCAAGATTCAAAGTGTTGCATGAAGTTGCTTAGACAATTGTGTGAAAATGCTGTCAGAATCAAAGGAAATGTGTCCAGTTTTAATTCTTGATTATCAAGTCTAAGAATTATTCAAGCATTTTGCTTTTCTTCTTTTCTACTTCTGCTGCTTAACCTTCGTCTCTTTTATTTAATGTTGTCTTCTCTATTGAGGTTAATGTGAGCAAGTTTTGGAAGAAAGGTTTTTTTTTTTTTTTTTTTTTCCTTCAACCCTCAGCGTCACGCCCGTACCGGACCGGGACCGGCAACGGGATCGCAACCCTCAGTGTTGCCCCCGCACCTCGCTCAGCCAGTGAGCGGCCGGTCTGTATGTGGGATCCGAACCCTTGGCGGGAGCGCTGCCGCGCTTCCCAAGCGGCGCACTGTAGCAGTGCGCCACCGGGCCGGCCCCTGGAAGAAAGGTTTAAAAAATTATAAACATTTTAGATTTACAGCTAAGACATACCATGGGGATTATCTAGTCTAGTGTTTTCCAAATGTTACTCATTGAAAAATAACATGTCACTATTTTGTCATATGCTTATATCATTTACTTGATATTTTTCTTTACATTAATTGGCTTTTTAAAAAAATACTAAATACCCACTTTGCTTCCAAGCCGTAGTATTTAGACACATCACAAGTTTAAGTTTGGTAAAATACGCGAGTACCTCAAAAAGTTTGTGGAAAAATAGAATTAAAAGATACTATGAATCTTTCCATGAACTTTTTGAAGTATCCTTGTACATAACTTAAAGCAATTCCCCTTGTGCCACCGAAAGCCATCTCATGTACTACCAGTGGCATGAGTGACACACTTGGATGAACAACGATCAGTGTTTCCATGTGCCCCTTATTTTGCAGATGAGGACACTGAGACCCAGGCAAGTAAAGTTATTTGCTCTGTATCGCTATGATTGCAATTTGATGTATTGAAGAATTTGGTAATTAAAAACCATCTAGGTATTTCAGTTGTACCAACTCTTTCTTTTCATGTTTCCCATAAGCTCTCAAGATCCAAAGAATAGGCAAAATAATGATGAGCCTTAGGGAAGGAGAAAATACTACTTATTATATATAGTCTCTTCAAAAAAAAAAAAAAAACATTGAGATGGGTCAAAGGACAAAGCACTAGATTAGGTCATTTGTTTCTCTTTTAAAACAATTTTACTAATCATAAGAACGCATCCAAAAGTTAGCACATTTACCTTCCACTTATACTATTTCTTGAGTTTTTTCATACTGACCTGACTAAGGTCAGCAGTACTGGCCTCCTCCTGACCCTACGTGCCTTGTGCATTGAAACCCGAGTGTTAGTTCCTGTTTGCACCATTGTACCTTGTTAGAGAAGGTATTTCTATTCTCCAGAGAGTGAACAATAAGCTACTGTATGTTTGGTCTCTAGAGTTCATTTCTTCATGTTTTCATTAGTTTTATTCATAAGATTCTATTAGAGTCAATTGTTAAATTGCTGGAAACGTCCCCAACAAAGGACAAAAAGGTTCTTCTATAAAACAAGAACAGCCCATCCCCTGCCCAGACTTGAAGGACCATAAATTAGTGTAATAAATTTTGGAATATAAGCAAGTAACTTTTCTTCCTACTCTCCTAGGGACCTGGGGTTTTTGAGTTCATGTCTGAAACTAGGTCAGTAAAATAGTAAAAATAATCCTACCAAATACAAATTGGTGCTCACTTCTTTTAAAATTATAGTCCCATCTAGTTAAATCAGAGTTCGATTCATTCACAATAGCTTCAAGTTATCATGAATAAACCAAAGTAATTGAAATAATTATTAAAATCATTAATGATATGTCATTTGAGATATTTTTCTTTTTAAAAAATTCTCCTTCCACTTCAAGAGTTTATGGTAAGAGGAACATTCCTCCATTTGTCCTGGAAATTTTGTTTGACACAATTTCATTGTAGAGTTACATTTCCCTAGTGCTTTGAAGATCCTAGAATCCCTTTCTCTCTATTTTGAATTCAAGAAAGCATTTGAATATAAATTTATTTTGATTCATTATTACAAAAAGCGCAATAGCCAAAAAGGTGCAAAATTTCAGAGTATACCCAGTCATGTGATTTCTAGCCAAGAACATAAAAGCAAATACATCACTCAATGTTTATTAAGTACTCAGAGGGGGTTAGTCACTAACAAAGACAGAAGCATGTGCAATTCTATGTCAAATGAGAAATTTGGCCATATCCATTGGAGCAAGCCCTAATCTTTTATGAACTGTACAATTTTAAAATAAAACAACATGGAGGAAATTATTGTAATTGAGTGAAGAAAAAAGGCGATTTTTTTGGAATTATAATGCATTGAAAACACATGCCAAACACTTCCCTTAATACTGACAAGCAGGAGCAACCATATTCTATCTTGGGACTCACATTGTTTTTCAATTCTACATTCTAACAAAGTCTGAAAACAGTAAGGTAAAGAGGCAGGGATGGAAATGTTGCAAAAATATTTGTTTTACAGCACAGTGGATGTTTATCTTATTTTAAATTAAATGTTCTCTTACAGACTGCTGCTTATTGGCCCTCAAATACTTGCCATCCCCCTCTTTTCTAATTTTTGCCCACAGCCGTTCCCCTAAAATTGCTAGAGTGGCTTTTGCTATTCTTTAAAACAAATGACCAACTATCTCTCTAACACACTGGAAAAATATTCCCAGAACATTCCCAGAACAGTTATAAGCCCCTCTATTACACATTAATGTCTTGTTAATTCCATAAGTGTCAAGACAATTTTCCAACTACTTATTTGCTTTTAGCACTTTTTCCTACAAACTCAGAAACCAGCTGCCATTCCCTTTGTACCCTTAAAATTAGGTTAGAGTGTACAAAACAATAAATAATATAAGGAAAGGACTCCTCCCTACCCATTAGACCAGTAGAAGGGCTCCTTTAGGAAGGAATTGTGGGACCCGCCAGGGAATGCTGCCCCTGTCTGGGTTGGAGCCCCAGCCAATGGCACCTGCAGAGTTGCATCTCATGGACAAGAACACACCTCCTGGGCCATGTCAGTTCTCATCACCTGCATTTAACAAAACAGAAAGATGAGACTTCTGCCTTAGAACTCAGAGTTATGCTCCAACAGTACCTTTGTTAATTACACAATTTTAAATAAAGCAACATGGGACATTACACTGGAGTACAGAAAAAAAGCAAAATTTTGGCATTATAATGTATTGACAACACATGCCAAATTCTTTCCTCAATGCATAGGATCAAACCTCTCTGCTCATCCTTCTGGTCCCTTGGCTGCACCATGTCTCTTTTCTACTCCTAGGATCCCCTATCTGGACATTTGGACTCCATGCCTACCTTTGCCTCCTTGCCCAGTCAGTACCTCTAGTTTCAGTAGCTAGTTTGCCTGCTTGGATGCCACACTTTGTCATTTCCTGTAGGTCAGTTGGATGCCTCCCATTTTTTTCTGTTGGCTGATAGACATCTCAATTCCCCTCCACCTTCATGTGGCCTCTTTCATGCTCTACTAACCCATGTCAGCCTGGACGGCATAGACATGGGACATCCTCAGTCCTGGTTCTCACGAACCTTCCCCCCACTTCCTGTAATCGTGTATTGACTCCTGTCCAATTCCCAAATACATAAATTGAGGAATCCAAAGGTAGATTAAAATTCTGGAACTGACTGAAAAAGGACAATGTAATTTTGTGAAAAATGTAAGGTACTTAGGGAACCAATATCCTTGAAAGTTTTCACTTACTTGGAGGAATTAATAGTTCATGCTGATGGATATTTCTTAGTGTTGTATTCTGGAGGGGACGTATTCAGATCCTCTGTTCAGTAAATGCTACTGACAGAACACACACACACACACACACACACACACAAAGTGCTCATAGAGAGCGTGCTCATCTTAGCACTTACCGAGGGTGGAAGAGGCAGTGACTTAAAAGGCATATCACGGAGATAAGGAAGAGTTTCTTGAGAGTTGCCAGACCAGTATTTCCCAACACCATTTTTTCCTCTCAAGTCATCAGCATGGCTCAGCTTGCATAACGAATAAGTCATGAAAATGTTCCAACCCTGAGACCCAGTAATTCCACTTTGAAAAATATACTCCAAGGACAAAGGAAAAAAAGTCAATGACTACCAACTTGTTTATAACAGCATTATTCAAAATGTAGTGACGTATCTTTTAGGGGTCAGCCCGGCCCACGAGCCATCCCCTCTTCTCTAGATCTCCTCCTATCCCCCATAGACAGGGTGAGTCCCTGGCAGCCGTGTTTATGTTGGACAATCCCACCTCATGATCTATAACTCAACCAGGAATGGATCTAATGCAAGTTGGGATATGGAACTAGGACAGAGAATTGCATGTGGTCAAGGTGGTAAAATAATCTTGAGCTGTGGGGTAACCCCATTCCCCTACAAGGAGAGGCAATCAGGGTAAAGGAAGAAGAACAAAGCAGATTCACCAAGAGGAGCAGATAGGAAACGAAGAATGGGCTGACAACTTTCTGGCTCTTTCTAGATGCCCTCTTGCTTTTCTGCTCTTTGACTCCATGACATACTCTATCTTTAGAATAAAACCACCCTTTTCAGCTTAAATAACTTGAATCACTTTTTGTTGCATATAACTAAGCCTTAAATAAGACACAATAATTAAAAACTGGAAGTAACTCAAATACCCCTAAATAATAAAATGATTAAGTAGATTATCATATGTTAGCGCAATTGAATGTTAAAAAAAAAAGTTTCAAATTATCTGCTTGGAAAAATGCAGACCATTCAGCTGGATGAACATACTGCTTGCAACTGTTAAATTGTGGATCTAGTCGACGAGGATTGGAAGAGTATACAAAATAATACCAATAGTTACTAACTTTATGGGATTTTTGGAAACATTGTTTATATAACATATTTAAAATAAAACTTAGGCCACTGGGTTTTGAAATAGGGATTTAATATCCTATTTCAAATTTTTCCAAGAATATTCATTATTCTGATAATGATATTCCTCATCAGTCTTCCCCCAAAATTTGGAAGTGGCCCTTGAGTCCTTTTTTCTTTTTTTGTTATTCTCCACATCTAAACCAACAGGAAGTTCATTGGCCATAACACAAAAATACCTATCAAATCATCTCACTGCACTCCAATTCCTTTCTCAATAACTCAGTCGAGATGACCATTGTCACCTGGACTACCATACTGCCTCCTGACCAGTTTCTACAATTTTTCTGAGCATGCTTTTATTCCATTTTCCACACAAAAGCAAGGATGATTTTAAAATAACACCCAGAATTGTGACTTCTAAACACCATTTTCCAATAAAAGGAATCAGGGCTCCATGGAGAATAAACTGATTACAGGTCTGGGGCAAGAAATATAGCCTGGAACACCTTGTCATATCAGATATCAGTGAAGCAATCCACTACTGAGGTCATGTCAAAAGTACTCAGGAGGCTTGGGGCCGGCCCGGTGGCGCACTGCTACAGTGCACCGCTTGGCAAGCGCGGCGGCCCTCCCGCTGAGGGTTCGGATCCCACATACAGACCGGTTCCCTCTCACTGGCTGAGCGAGGTGTGGGAGCGCCAGACACGAAAAAAGACAAAAAGGAAAAAAAAAAAAAAGTACTCAGGAGGCTACTTAAAGAGATCCCTACCAATCCAAGAAAGGATAATTTAAGTATTAATAAAAATAATAACCATAAGAGATTGAAACAGTTCAAAGTGTTTAAATCCATGAATTAATAATGATGTATTTTTTAAAAACCTTTGAAGGATATTAAAGGTCTGTGCAGAAAATCTCAAAGAATCATTAAAAAACAACAACAACAACCCAAAAAACCTCCTTAGTAATTATAGCAAAGTTGACACTAATTAATGATTATAGCAAAGTTTCAAGATATAAGGTTAATATACAAAGGTCAATTCAATTGCTTTCTTATATACCAGCAATGAATTTGAAATTAAGAATACAATGCCATTTATATTAGCACTGAAAAAAAAAAAACAAGAAAAAACTTGGGTATAAATCTAAAAAAATATGTTTAAGATCTATATGGGGAAAAACTACAAAATTCTGATGAAAGAAATCAGAGATGTAAATAAAAGGAGAGATAATCCAGGTTCATGAATGGGGAGACTCAATATTGTTAAGACGTCAGCTCTTCTGACATCCAGTCAAAATCCCACCCAGTCATTTTGTAGATATTGACAAACATTATGAAGTTTATATGGAAAGGATCCTAAGGAACCCACTCATTATTTTGAAAACTGGTAAGTAAAGGGAAAGAGTAAAGCAAAAATAAAAGTAAATCAGACGTATCACTTTTCAGATGTAGACTTTTCAATTGTTTCAAACTGCACTTTAAATGAAAGACAACCACCTTAACCAGGATCTATAAAGTTATGCTTGATCTGGCATCTTCCAACCACACTCATCTTATTTCATGCCACTCAGTCCCTCACTTGTGATGCTCCCGCTGACTAAGCCTTCAAATAACCTGTGCTCTTTCCTGCCCCAGGCTAACCCTCCTCATGCTTCAGATCTCAATTTACCTTTTTAGAGGGACTTTCACTGACCATTCTAGCAGGAAATTCTATTTGTTTCCTTCCTAGAACTTACTAAAATTTGTATTTATTTTGTTTGTTCACTTGTTTTTGCTTGTTTCTCTCAGTAAACCATAAGTTCTAAGAAGGGAAAATACCTTGCTTATGTCCAGGACCAGCTGCGCACAGGCACCCGGTAACTCTTTACAGAAAAAGTGAATGAAGTAGTCCATCAAGTTGAGACTAGGTGGTTGGAAAATAGGTGAAACTCAAATAAACCAGTGAGGGTGATTTGGGGATCTCCGAAAGGGCCAAGGTTCATGTGTATGACAGGGTCAGGAGAGGCCCTGGAAGAAGGAGAAATGTGACTTCCAGGAAGAAGCAGGTCACTGTGGAGTTGAAGAGACAGATGTGATCATCTTAGGCTTTGAGAAACTTTTATGGAGTGTCTTAGTCTGTTCATGCTGCTATAGCAAAATACCACACACTGGGTAATTTATAAAAAGCAGAAGTTTATTTCTCACAGTTCTAGAGACTGAGAAGTCCCAGATCAAAACACCAGCAGATTCAGTGTTTGGTGAAGGCTGCTCTCCAATTCCAAGATAACGCTTGTTGCTGCATCCTTAGGAGAGGACAAATGCTGTGTCCTCACATGGCAAAAGGCCAAAAAGGGACTAGCTTGCTCCCTCAAGACCTTTCATAAGGGCACTAATCCCATCCACGAGTGTGGAGCCTTCATGGCCTAATCACCTAAAGGCCCCACCTTTTAATATTGTTGCAATGGGGATTAAATTTCAATATAAATTTTGGGAGAACATACATTCAAACCCTAGCATGGAGTGTTAAGTAAAAAACAAAAAATTGTAAATACCACTTTAATGATAAATACTGTAGAATTTCTAGACCCTAGACTTTTTATTCCGAATTAACTATCAAGCTTCAGGTAATAAATAATGGAGAATTTTCACCATGCACTGGGCTATGGCATTGGGCCAAATAATTCTAAGAACTTTTATTATTGTATCTGATTTGCTGTGTCTGGATGTGAGCTTATGTTTACAGATCAAAGCCCACCAGGGTTATATTTTGTGTTCTGGCAGCTTTAAGAAATAATCCAATACAAATTTTATCCTTAATGGTTAGAAGTACTATAATGAACTATCATATCAAGTGTTCCATTTCAGTTCTTTTTTTTTTTTTTTTTTCTTGTTTTTAACCAAGAGATTTTCTGAGGGTGTTTGTTGGAAAAACCTGTTGTTACAGTTTCCGAAAATTAAGAAGGGGGAACTGAAATTCTTCATTGAAATGCCAAGAATCTTAGTGGGTTCTGAAGAGCACATGACATTTTTTCTATCTGTGTCTTAATTAATCAAACAGTATAAACATACTACAGAAAATTTGGAAAATCAAAATAAGATGAAGGAAATTCATACATGATCAATCCCCATCACCCCAATGTTATAAATCCATGTATTTTCTTTTGATCTTTTCTCATACACTTATTGTTTCCTAGTTGTCGTCCCAGTGTACACACAAGTTTTTATCCTAAATTTTTCCTTCATTCTAAAACAGAAGGCAGAGAGTAAACAAGCAAATAAGTAAGATAATTTATGATGGACATAAGTCATGTGAAGTGAATAAAGGAAACAATGTGGAGTGAGTTGTCAGGGATGGTCTCACAGAGGGATCATTTGAGATAAGACCTGTCTGACAAAAAATTGGCCTTGTCTGGCCAGAGCACTGGTCACACATGGGATAACAAGTGCATGAACCCCGGACAGGAATGAAATTTGTTTGTTTGAGGAACAGAAAGGTAGCCAATATGAATAGAGCACATGAGCAAGAGGAACATGGAGGGAGATGAATTGAGGGAGGGAGGATGTGCATGTGTGCACGCGTGTGCGTGTGCACGCGTGCGAGCATGCGAGAGAGAGAGAACCCTATGGGACCTCATAGGACATGGTTAGGGGAGATTATTTCTTGGTCTAAGAGCAATATGAAGCTATTGTAAGATTTTTAAACAGGGAAATGACACTTCTGATCTAGATTTTTAAGAGTACTCTAGTCACCAAAAATATTGTACAGAAATTATTTCTGCATGAGTGTGGACACAAATACTAGAGACTGAATCCCAATCTGCTTAAACATTCCAAACCATGTGTCAGGGACGCTCATGTAAGCGAGAAGTACAGGAGCTTTAGGTAGGGCTACATCCAGAGGCCCAGGGGATGTCCTCAGATCTTTCTTTTTCTCTCACTTCTGCTCTTTCTATGTTGCCTCCATCCTCTTCTTCTTCACTTCTAAACCCAGCCAACAAAGGGCATGGCTGCCAATAGCCCAAGGTCGTCCAAAAGGAAGAGAGAGTCTCTGTCTACCTGCAATTTGGAAAATTCTGGGAAAGGACTCAAATTGGTGAGGCATGGAAAATGTATTCTTCTTTTGACCAATTACCATGTACATTGCTATGTTACATTGTCACTAGTCCATATGCTCACCTGTTGGCAGACATGAGGGTAGGTTACCATGACCTATATCCTGACCAGACTTACACAAAATTGGAAAAAATTCTCCAAAGGAAGGGGAATCTGTTATTACGAGATTGGTAAGCATGCTTTCCAGAGGAGGAAAAACCTTCAAAACAATAATTGCATGGCATAGTCATTCAATTTATATAATGATTTCTTAAATTGAATAATATTCCACCATATATATGTTTCATTCGTTCATTTTTTTATTGTTGTTCTAAACAACAATTTGCTAAGTGCTATGCTT